GAGGTGATGTGCACTCAAGAGAAAATTGGACAACCATTTGTCAGATCTGCTTTGATTTTGATTCCTGCACGGGCCAATGGGTTGGACTGGATGGCCTCAGAGGCCCCTTTCCATTCCATTAGTCTAACATTCTTTCATTCCCACAAACTGGCTGCGCGCGTGCGTTTTGAGAGAGGAAAAAGCTCCCCCACCACCCACCCACATTCCCCTGCCTCCTCCTTCCCTCTCCGTTCGCTTCGCCCACTCGATTCCGCCTCCCCCCCTTCCATGGCAGTGACATCATGGATGGGAGCCCCGCGGAGGATTGTGGGCCGGGAGTGGCCGCCATTTTCGGTGAGGAGAGGGGGCGGGGCTAAGGCCCCTCAGTCAGGCTTAGGAAGCCGGCGAAGACTTACCTCAGGACTGGAGCTGCGGAGGGCGGGTGTCGTAGCAGCGGTGGCGGCGCTGGGGGGGTCCAGCCTCTGTCCCGCCCTTGACAGCCGGCTGTTCCGGCCCGGGCAGAGTGGTTATATAGCTGGGGTGAGTAGGCAATGAGGGGCGCCTCAGCTTTGCCGTCCCTTCTTCCCCATATGGCCCTTTTCTTTTTGTCCCCCTCCCCAAGCCAGCGGCCTTTCTACTAGCACACCCCCCCCCGAAATACCGTTTTTTTAAAGCCTTGACGAAGGCCTTGTGGGCGGCTGGTGGGTATTACGAGAAGGGGCGCCGCCTATGAGGAGGGATGTGCGTATATTTGAGGATGGGCGTGTATGGGGAAGCAGTATTTTGGGGGTGGGTGGGTTGGTTGGGAACAGGTGGAGGAGGGGAGGGAAACAATGAAGATTGTAGGTCCAGTTGACCAAAAAAAAACAAAAAACCCGGGGTGCTTCCTGTTTGTGGGTGATGGGGTTGCGAGTGGCTGAAGGACGAGGGAGCGCAAGGCGGAGAAAAGCGGCTTGGGACAGCCCAGAAGAGGGGACCAAAGGGAGAAATTAAGGTGGAGGGAGAGGCGATGAAGGGGTTGACAGCAGCTCGATTTTTCGCCCTTGTGTCTGTTTTTTTTTTCCCCTCTGGGTCGAATCTTTTTCGTATCGATAATTACTCATCCAGAACAGAAGGCTTGAGATGGGCTCCTGTCGGTCCCTGGTGACAACAGTTAGACCCATTATGTTTATGTTCAGTCATGGCTCATTTGTAATGCATGAATCGCCAACATGGCTCTTCTTGGGGAAGGGATGCAGGAAAGGAAGAAAGCTGTCCGTGGCCTGGAGGGGATCTGCTGTAGCATCCACCCAACCCCTTTTTCCTTCCCTTCTTTACCTCTTCCACAACCTCCCTTTTCACATCTGCCTTCTGTTTGGTCTCTGAAAACACTCAGGGCTGAGGAAATGTGTAGAATAATACAGGGTGGTGGTGATTAACCTTATTTTCCTTGTTTATTTTTTAGTGTCAAAAGTGGCTAGATATATCTGACTTGTGTGTGTTTTGAAATAAGGAAGGAAGAGGGGGAGCAATTCTCTTTCCGCTTTCTGTGCCTCTGGGGTCTCTAAAGCATAGGCATCAGCTTGGTGCTGCGTGTCTTTGAATTTTTATTGATTCAAGATGTTTAATAGTTAAAATTATTTAAAGCACACATTGAAACTTGTGTTTTTTAAATAGAAAAATTGGGGATACCAATTCAGTTAGTATTTTTATTTATAGAACTTTATATTTTCATAACAGAAGTTTTGTGCCCGTTCATTTTTATCAGTAATGTGTACATTTTAAAGGACCTTTTCAGATATTTTTGATGGAGGTGAAACAATTTGGGTGGGAAACTAAAAAAAAGTCTAGTGTGCTTTCTATGTCCTAACTTTCAAAGTATGATAGTAAAAATAAATTAATAACAAAAAAACTAAGGCTGTTATCCAGTGCTTATTAGTATCAGTAAGCTCCCACAATATTTAGTCAAGTCAATCCTGACTTACGGTTACTGTTTTCAAGGTTTCCAAGTAGAGAATAGTGTTTTTTTCTTCTTCTTCTGGGGGCATCCTGGGATTGTGCAGCTTGCCCAAGACCACACAGGCTGGCTCTACTCACAGGAGGTGCAGCGTGGACTTGAACTCTCAATCTCTAGTTCTGCAACTAGATATTTAAACCACTAAGCTATCGAGCCAGCTGAACAACATAACAGGAAGCGGATGGACTTGAACTCTCAATCTCTAGTTCCGCAACTAGATACTTAAACCACTAAGCTATCTAGCCAGCTGAACAACATAACAGGAAGCGGAAAAAACATGTTCTTAAAGAATGCAAGTTAGAATGAATGAATTTTAAATATGTGAGTCAGAAATAAATCATTTTCTAATAGCTGCCAAAAGATTGTTGTACGGTGGTCTAAGCATCTTAGTCATAGTGCTTTCAGTGCATGTGGAGTAATAAGTCTGTCATTCATCAACAGTATTGTTAAAGCAGAGCCATTAGGCAAAGCCATAATATACTACAGTAGTACTGTACCTTGGTTTACGAAATTAATGTGTTCTGCGGGACGTTACGTAAAGCAAAAAACCAAAACGCAGATTGCCATAGGAATGGGGGCGGTGCTATAAAGAATGCATCCTGGGGAAACTTTCTTCAGAAACCGAAAAAAAGAAAAAGGAAAAAAATCCCATAAACCAAGGTATTATTTTCAATGGATTTCCATTTGTAAATTGAAAATTACGTTAACCAAGGCGTTTGTATACCGAGATAATGCTGTATAAGATAGTATAACTGTGTTTTACCAAGTGTATTGCTAAATACGAAACTGCTGTGAAATGATTTCAAACTCAAAAGAAGTCTAGAATGTTTTGGCAATAATTCAGACCAATTTAGAAGTGCTTAAAAGCCAACCATTTTAAATGGTCATTTTTTTCCAAAGTCAGAAATTCAATAACTCTTCTATACAGTATTGCAGTAGTGTGCCTCTGCTGCTATAAGCATGACAGTAGAACTGATTTGTAAAGTTAATGTGACAATCTTTGGTACGGATTTGTTTAAAAATTAATGTTACAGAATAACACTAAAACAAAGGGAAATTTAAAGTAATTGCAAAATAGTACGGTAGTATTAGACAGCACCCACGCTTGCTGCCCCGTTAAAACAGAGTGCAAAGCACATGCATTCTAAGCCATTAAAGGGGCAGGTTCAAAGAGAAAATCTAGGTCATTGGCATATAAGTAGTTGCGTTTGTAACCTTAAAGGAAGACTTTAAATATTTAATAAGAACAGAGAATAATACCTGAACATTAAAAAAGGATGAAGTGGGTTGTACTGTGAAAATCAGGACATTGCGATGTATTGTTTGTAAAGATAAATGAGAAAATACGGTAGTTACTGTGTGCTTAATTTAGGAGTTTTTCATCAGGCTCTGACAAAATCACTAGCTGCCACTCTTTGCGCTTTATCTGTTGGTTTCTTTGACTAAGTTGAGTGCCCTTGGGATGTTTCTCTGTACCCTGTAATGCAGTCTCTGGCTTTTTACTGCAGGCTAAATTCCCTTTGGACATGAGAATTAGTGCAGCTTCTCTGTAGTCTCCTCCTTTCTGATTTGCCTCTGAGGCAAGGTTAGCATAGAATATGTTTTTGCTCTGATTCCTCAATATGGAACCTTGCTAATACAACAACATGGCTCCTGTACATTTTAGGATTATTTTAAGGTTGACAATAGTTCATCATATGCATCAATATGACTCAGAGTTATCTGAAAGAGCTATTGAAATCCCTGTCCTGGATAATAATGATTTTTTAAAAATGGGAATTGACCTGCCATTTTTAGAACCTTTGTGTGAAATTGAATCACCATAATTTGTCTGAAGAAGTAGGTTATGATCCACCGAATATCACAGTGTACTGTATTAAGTTAAAAGTGCCACAATACTTAGATTTATTTCAGTTCTTCCCCTCCCCCCAATGCAAATTTAGATTATGTGAGGGGAGGTACCGTGTACAGGCTTGAATGTAAAGCAGCATATGAAACAAAAAGCCCTAAGGAACTCTGTTATAATACTGTACTGATTGTGTTTTTACTGTTTTGTTGATGTGCATGTAAAATATTTTGATTAATAATAACACTCTTTGTGGTTGGATTGTTTTTTGGGGGGGAGGGAATAAAAAATTAGACATCAAGCTTCCCTAAATAGCACTATTCATTAAATAGGGCCTCTTAAATAACAATTATTTCCCTCCAATGGCTCAAATTGGATCTTTCTAGATGCTATTTTCTTGTTACTGTTAGAAAATAATTTCTTGTCACTAAAGATAACACATTGTAAACTTTTTCAGATTAAACCAAAACATTTAGGTAGGTAAAGGTTCGACTCTTCGCACAGATTACAGCTATGGTTTGGGAGTTTTCCAGTTCAGGTCCTACCGCAGCCATAAATTAATAAGTGAGGGAAATGTAGTTGCTTCGTATGTTGAATGACAATTCCCATCAGGCCTAGTCAGCTAAGGGAGAAAAACTTGGAATTGCAGTCCAGTAAGATGTCAAGGGCTCCATTTGGCTTCCCTTTACTTAAGTCTGAAGTGACTAAAGCATTTGCTTTGGAGCTAGTGTAGTGTTTGCATTACTAAAAATTGACTAACTTTGTCTAACAGAGTGGTCTGTAAAATTTTTAAAGTTGCGTATATTTTCACTAGTAAATTTTGCCTCCCTCTACACATTTTCTGTATTATTTGTAAAGGTAAGAGGCATTTATACTCCATCGTCAATAAACCTAGCTGTAGACAGACTAGAAGCAAAGACGCCTTAATCTTGAAAAGCAGGAATGATCTGAGAGTGAAGCTTTACATTATAGCAGCCAGTAAAATTTGGAATAGGTTTTTCTGATTTTTAATTTCTGAATGGAATTTGTAAGAGTTCCTTCTTTTTTCAGGAGCACCACCAATTTATGTAGACCTGAGAGAGACTGCATATGTTACCATAATGTATTAAACATTTTCCTCTTACCCATGTGCAAAGCTACTGTCTCTCTAGTGTTTTTCTTTTCTTGCTCTGTCCTCCTCTTGAAACTTTACATCAGTGAAGCTAAAATGAGTTCATTATCCACCCCTTACCTGAGAACATACTCCTTCCAGCCACATTCTTGTCATTAAATTGTTCTACTGCTTTACTTCAGTTGCTGCTAGAATTTATAAACAGCTGAAAAGGGATTGCTTTTTTAAATTAACTGGATTGGGGGAGGGAAAAACCAATTTCAGTTCTCTCTTTTATGTTTCTCATATGTTTTTTCCGCTCCTGAGCCAACGTTTTCTGTTGGCTTTCTCTTTCATCACAATTTCCATACCAAAAAAATATAAGGAAGAGAGGCACTTCTTTCTTGTCCTTTGGAGACTGACTGAGACAAGAAGCAAAGGAGAAAACCAGAGATTCTGAAGAAGAGATAATATGATGAAGGAATTAAAATACAGTACAGATTGGATTTCATTGGTTAAAATGGGAAGTCTATGCTTCCTAGTCTTTAAAACTTTCATTTTTACTACTGATGTTTTGGTTTACTAGTGAAGTGAGAACAATGCTTAAT